CAACAACAGCAACAACAACATCATCATCAGTACCGTCAGCTACAAAAACAACATCAGCTCATTCAATGATGTTCACAAAACCAAAGATGTCTTCGCCATTGTCGGCAATTTTAACGGCCAACTCGTCATCACCATCATTACCACCATTTTTTGAATCGTCATCATTACTTTCATCATCATCGTCATCATCATCGCCCTCCTCACCACCATCATCATCATCATCAATACCATCGTCGTCATCATCATCATTGTCATCATTGCAATCATTATCACTACCGGCAAATTTTTTCTCAATTTTATTTGCTACACAGGGAATAACAACAACGACAACAACATCATCATCATTACCATCATCGTTGTCGTCATCATCATCTTCGTTGTTATCTTCAGGGCAATCATTATCATTATCACTGCCACCATCATTATCATCTTCAACATCAACAACAACTAAAGCATCATCATCACCATCATTAACTTCTTTTTCTACTTCATCATCATCAACAACAACATCACCAACAACAACAACATCATCAACAACAACATCATCATCAACACCACCACCACGAAAAAGAATTCCAATATGGCTGATCGGTTTATTCCCGCTCAGTGGATCGTGGGCCGGGGGCTTGGGCCAACTTCCGGCCGTTCAACTGGGCCTTGATGACGTCAACAACGACCCCAACATACTTCCGGAGTATGAGCTCATGATGACCATGCATGATACGCAGGTAGGTCACGTGATGGTGAGGAGGACGCGAATGCTGCTGATGATGATCACGTGCTGGGGTGATGATGTGATGACGTCTTCATGATGTAATGATGTCATGTGATGATGATGATGATGATGATGACAGTAATGATGACGATAATGTTGACGACTTTCAGCGGAAGATTCTAAGTTTTATGGGCGGGCAGATGTTTTTTGCATCATATATTTTTAGTGCTGGTGATGATTATCATCATCATCGTCATTATCATCATCGTCATCATCATCATCGTCATCATCATCGTTGTTATCATTCTAGATTATAGTAGTAGTAGTAGTAGAAGAAGAAGATGATGATGATGATGATGCCAAAATATGAAAAATAACATTAAAGATAACAATAAAATCAAAATTTAACATTGATATAATGAGATGATGATGACGATGATGATAACGATGATGATGACGATGATGATGACGATGATGATGACGATGATGATGACGATGATGATGACGATGATGATGATAACATGATGGTTGTTATGATAATAGTCCCAGAGTTCGAGAGTCCAAAGCCCAAATCTGGCATGAAAATCGCTGAGTTAAAAAAATGTTACATTCTATTTTTAAGATGTCTGGCTGGTTATGGTTATAAGTGTGAGTGTATATATGTATGTATGTATGTATGTATGTATGTATGTATGNATGTATGTATGTATGTATGTATGTA